TTTTTCCCCCCCCCCCCCCCCGCCCGCCAAGATGTGCTAGTTTGATAGCTGTTTGCCTTTGGTTTTAACCAACTTTCGATCTGGATGACTTATGCTACAGTAATATCTGAGACAAAAATGACAAAGAAAGGCCATGAGGTATTTAGATAAGACCTGACTAAACAATTCTCCTTCTTACCACATTATCACTTTCCTAATCTTTGTGAGATGTTTCTTTGGAAGCTGTGGGTATTGCACACAATCTGGAACATCTATCATGTTTAGCTTTGGCAGAAAAATGAAATATGATGGGACACATTTATTCATATGGATAATCTCAAGGGACCTAGACTCTGAATTCTTAGGAAATTAACTGCTTGGCCTCTTGTTCTTTGAGCTGGGCATTGATTGATTGAACAATTAGCAGAAATTTTGTGCATAACTTGGAAGATATGTTTCTCTGAATGCGCTACTGAATGGGTCTGCACCAGATTAGCAGCACCAGACTCTGACAAATTAGATTTCAACACTTCCAGTTCATCTTGGCAGATGTTCATATCCTGATGTCATGCAACCATGAGGTAAGCCAGAAAGAGTGGTATTTTGCAATAGAGAGATTCTGGTAACCCTTCCCATGAGTGTGGGTTGCAGGATACCAATATTTATATCACACCACAGAAAGCATGTTACATTTTGTAATTCAGAGAAGTTAAATGGCTTACTCATGGTCTTTGCATAGATAGATTGTCCTTATGTTCAACAACAAAAGCTGAAATTGCTGATGTTTGTCTTGTTATTTTCTTAAGACATTTTTTCAACTAAATATAATGAATGGAAATCTTCCCGATGTCACCAAAATAGACACATCAAAATTAAAGGATTAGACCTGTATTGTGCCAGGAAACACTTAAACATGAACTATGTTCTACTGTCATTCTTTTCCAACTTTATGAAAATATAATTATACAAAAAGTTAATTTGGGGAAAAAAGATACAACGACTAGCAATTGTAAATTTACTTGTTCAGGTACAGCTGAGATTACAGTGTTTGCCTCTCCTTCATCATAGTCTAAAATGCTAAATAATGAAGCTGTCATGAATATTGTTGAACTAAGAATATGTTCTCAAAGAACTGAAGGATAGACACAGGAGGAGATAAAATGAAGAATGAAAAACGTTGATGAACTCTTTGGCCAGTTTGGTTTAGTCAAAGATGCCAAAAACATCTCATGTCTTTTCTAAATGATCCACCACACTTAATGATATATTGATTAGTAGCTGAAAGTGTAATTCTGATGCAAAGACTTCACTGGTCAGCTCTTTTCAGGGTCTGATTGTATATAGGAAAAAAAAATAGAAGATGCAAGAATTTGCAGATCATCTTGTATTTATGTATTTTCCCACTTAAGCCCTCCTTACATATGTAAATATTGCCAGATGTGGCTCTAGCTCCTTGGGAATGCCAGAGATTCCTTCCTACAAAATTAACTCCAGGAGTTATGAGATCACAGGATTACTTGGTATTACAGACCATAAACAGATGGCTTTCATAAGCAACACTCTAATACAACAGTTTCGTTGGGTGGATTTTATATTGTTAATGAATACTATTCTATAGGTGAAAAAAAATTTGAATCTCTGTATTTGTTTTGGTTAATATTTTGGTTCAGAAACCAGGGAATTTTAATTCTCTGAGTTCTAATTTCAATTATGTTGTGTTTATAATTGACAATATTTGTAGACAGCATATTATTTATAACCTTTTCAGTATCACCTCTCCAGACTATAGCATTAATTCCTCTTTCCTTTCATCAGGAGGCAGTCCTTAATTAGTTAAGGGCAGTCCTTTATTGTTTCTTCCTGAACTCTCCCCAGCTTTTTTACATCTTTTTAAAGTGCTCAGGAAGAGTATAGCTGTCTAGGTGCGGTCAGTCACTGGAGTCACTGGGAGGAAACCTCACCTCCCCACTCCTTGGTATGATGTAATCTTTGCATGCTGAGTGAGAACATGTAGAAAGTGCTGATGTGCAATTCATGTGCATTACATTTCTTCTGAAGGAAAAACAAAGTGAAATACTTACTACTCCAAGGATAGCAGAATGTAAAGTTTGGGAATGAATGAAAAGTTGTAACTTTATGTAAAAGAGAAGCTTGTTTCTAGACTGCCATTGTAAGAATCTTCAAGTTTGATCTTTTTTTTAAACCAATCTCATGATCAGAATTATTTTGCTTATCTATATCACAATGGAATAAAAAGAGTCCTTAGTTTTAGATTGAATCTAAAAACAAAAATGGTAGGTATTATTCTTTAATTTCATTTTGTACTTCCTTTAAAATAAATTAGTATTTTACAAACAAAACACTAAAATATACACCTAAGGTAATATCCAGTGGTGTGTTTGGGAGTTAGAGGTGGGGTTGGGGATAGAGGTGCTGAGGATAAGCTCATGTGCAGTGCAGATATGGAAACATTTTCTTCTCCCACTGTCACATTTTAAAGCTACTAGGGCCTTGTAGAAAATAAAACCAAAGCCCAAAGAAATTAAGGGGCCTGCACAAGACTATTCAAATTATATGGCAGAAATATAATTAAAGAGTAAAAACTGATTTCCAAATAGTTATTTCTACAATGACTCCATTCCCCCCTCCCCCCATGCTCAAATCTGTTATCAAGTGTTTAGAAATGGTAAAAAAAAAAAAAAAAAAAAAAAAGTTTCTATGTGCTGTTGGCTAGTGAAAAACGTCCTATGTCCAGTTCTCCAATTTCTATTTCAGGGCCAATTGTAGACTTTTATTCATCAGGAGAATTCTAGTATTTCAGTCCAAATGGATGGTCCTGAGGTAATCCAACTGATAATAGGAGTATGTAATGAACAAAAGCATTAGGGGATCAGTGAGTCCAACACAAAGTTTTACCATTCATACAGAAACAGAAATGCTTTGCCTATTCTGGACTTGATATCCAGATAGCTTTCAGCCCTTGGAAAGTCTTTAGCTTTCTCCATGTTTCACATATAAAAGCTGCACAGTGCTGTCACAAGCTGGGTATGATTTGTGTTTGCCCTGGACATTCCATTTTCTTTTCAATGGCTTAGACTTAAGACACATGTTTGGTTCATTGGACATGCCATAACATTGATCTTATCCTAAATGTTGACTTCACATTATTTGAAACACCATGAAAGCAGCATGTTAGGGATTAGTCCATTGAATAAATAGCCTTAGAGAGGCTCCATCTAGGTGTTCCAAAATGGTGGGTAACAAGCACATGAAGAATCCAAACTTGGTATTGTTTTGCCTTGCTGCAAGGTTGATAATTATTCCCATGAAAATTCACATCTGACATGGTCAGAAGCATGAAACTCAGTCTCCCTGCAGCGAACAATAACCACGCAACAACAGCAAACCCAGAATAGAAGGCTGTGAACTTGACTTCTGTCATTATGTCCTGTTCACTTGGCTTCCGTGGCACCCTAATGATGGCAAAGTCTGAAGGCCAATGTCGAATCTTATCCTCTCATTTCATTGTGATCCCAACTTCTATTATTTTCAGGTCTAGTCAGCTTGGCAAGTTCTGTTGATCGTTTGAAGATTCCAATTTTGGGCCCACTGATTTTTACAAATGCCTTGATGAAAAATTCCTTACCAAGGTCTCACAGTGGTCTCCTTCCATCACAGACATTATAAGGCGAGGTCAGTCTTAGACACCTAAAAAAGAGCATTGGTTTCCACATGAATTTGACTGCCACTCATATAGATCACTGTGGATTACATCAATGCACTAGTGCAGCAGTTGCCCCTGGTGCTCCATCCACATCCCCCTGACCCACTGGTGGACCCATCCCCCAGCAGCTGTGGGTTTGAATGGGCTCACAGCATCATCCTTCTTCAGAGGATTGCCCATAGTCAACGGAGCATCATGCCAGGAGATTCCTGGGAGATTATAAGCCTACCCCACCATGAGCAACCTGTGGCCCACGATTGACTGATATAGTATACTAAAGCCAAGACTCCTCACCTCCTTGGGACAGGCCTACAATGTCATTCACATTCCAGATTTCCCCAGGGTATCAGACTGAGGCTATATTTCAGCTGAAGCCATATCTTTAATTAGCCTCTTCCTCTACTCTATTTGCTTTCCTTTCTTCAGTAAGGTTTCACCTTAGAGCACTCCCTCATTCAATCACATGCACAGCAATCCTCGTCTCAGGCTCTGCTTCTAGGGAAACTGACCTCCGACAGCAAGCTTATTAACATCTTACCTCCTCCTCATTCTCCACCTTTCTCCAACAATCGTTATTGTTTATTATTATTATTATTATTTCTTGGTCTCAGGCAAATCTGCAACTGATGTAATATAGATTTGGTTCTCTCTGAGATGCAGTTGTTAAGCAAAACAAACTTTTCCAATTTTGGATAGGTAGTTCTCATCATTTTAAAAACAACAACTTAGTAAAGCACAGCAGGGGAAATGTATTTGTATTATTTTGTTAATGTATCTCACATTATTTCTTCACTTTTCTATAGCTACATGCATTTAAGAAAAAAATACTAGTGTAGAGAAGCCAGAAGTAAGGATGGATACATAAATCAGTAGTGTATACTTATTTGTAGAAGTTTGTCTTCTTTGGTTTTTATCAGTAGAGAGTATTTGCTTAATATACCCCCAGTTGATGTCTGGGGAGAAAGTGGCCATGTTTGTCACATATTTTAATTCATTTAACACTCATTTCTTGATTTTTTTTTCTCAATAAATATTTGATCCTCAGTGTCTATTGTGCACTAGGCATAGCATTAGGCCCTGTATATATATATAGTTGTGAACACGACATACTTGGTCTCTACCCTCTTGGGCCTACTGTCCTCCTCATTATAATTTTGATGTAGGCACACAAACATCGGATGAAGGAAAATTGTAAATATGAACTATCCTATTGCAACTGAAGGTAAAGAACCATTTGTCTGAGTTTATGAGAAAAGGCATCAAAAATATTATGTAGGAACTTGCTAAATTTACAACACTTTTTTCAGTAAAAAAATTATACATGTCAAAGCCTGGCACATTGTAGGGGCTCAATAAATATTCGTCAAATGAGTGCATGCCAAATGACTTCATAGTTTCTCTTTTTCATACCTCTTTCTTATGTAGCAATAGAAAATAGCAAGAAAAGCACTTATTAGTAATCCAACACCAATCCCAATTGCAATGTATTTTTCATAAGAATCCACAGCATATGACGTTAAGGTCAAGTGCTCACATCTTTCTCCAGTATAACCAGTAAAACACCTTTAAAAAAAAAGAAAATAATGTATAATTTTAAAGCCCATGATGATAGAAATACAAACAAATGACCTATTTCAAAGAATGAAAAAAAAATTCAATGGAAAATAAGTAATTTAAAGAGGCAAATACCAAATGAAAACCAATGTGTTAAAAGAAATGAAGTAGCCATGAATTTTACAATAAACATTTCATTAAAGCCTGTATTTTCTCTTCATTTGTAGAGGGGAAAAGTAGTATGCTTGCCTGAGTCATTCTAGAAAATTGTTATCCTATTCTTCCACAGGACAATGCTGAACAAATCGATGATCACAAAAATAATATCTTAGTTGCTCTAGAATTCCTGAAATGTTTTTGCCTTGGTCTGTTTTATTTCATCCTACAAACAATCCTATGAAAACTCAGAATCACCTTTGCACATTGTTAAAAATGCAGATTTTGATTCAGTAGTTCTGGAGTGGAGCACAAGATTCTGCATTTCTAACAGCTCCCAGGTTCCACTGATGTTGCTAATCTGAGAACCATATTCTTGAGTAATGAGGATTCAGTCGTTTAGGTTTGTTTTGGGTTTTTTTTTTTTTGTTGTTGTTGGCAGCTGGTTGGAAAGGGGATCTGAACCAAGTAGTTTAGAAAAAGACTTCCTCGATATTCAAATACAAAGAGGACTGGCGAGTCTTATTCAGATCAACCCATTTTACTAGATAATACAGAGGAATATGGAAATGTACTATGTGAAACAACAGACATAAATTCACTTTCTCTTGTCTCTAAGACTTGGAAAGTTCCTTAAAATTACCTGCAGATGGCTTTCTCTAGCTCATGGTGAAATGCACAAACACCGTTGATGCAGTAACTATTGTGGTCTTCCAGGCAAGGGTGTGAGAACTTTAAGGCTATGGATCCTTCTATGTAGTCAGCTAGGAAAAGGAGATATAATGTTAATAGATGAAGTGTGTCCTACTTTTATGGTAAATTTTAAGTATAGATGTAAAGAGATCTTTTTATGTTAAGAATATTTTGGGGGCACTTTGTCCATTGAACTATTGATTCCCTTGGCAAATTATATCAGAAGGGTTGGGTTAAAATAACCAAGACATATCATTAATTAATTAGGGGTGGAAGGGGGTTGATAATTGTTTCATTTTTTAGAAGCTACATGATAAGGTATAGAGACAACAAGTTTGCCAAAAGGTGGCAGCACTGGTTCTAGTCTTAGCAGGTTATTTTCAGCAATGCTTTCCAAAGGTGCACCTGAATGCTAATGAATATAGAAGATCTCACACAATCTTTTCATTTTTTTCCTTTACACCTGAGAAGTCAGCACTTAAAATTTGAAAGAAGGCATTTCCAAAGAAAGGGCACACTAGAGAGACTCATTTTTCCCTTAAGAAGAATATTAGTTATAACTATATGAAAGAAAACTTTTCTAAGATACCAGATTTAGATTTTTAAGTTAAATAAAAAGCAAAAGGAAAAAAACTAAAGTTCCTCATCAAAAATGCAAAGGAAAACTATAGAGATGATATATTTGATCCTTTTTTTAACATTCCTATTATCTGAAACTTGGAGAATTTTATTTGCAGTTTACCATTAAGAAAGAAAAAAGTGGTAGCAGGCATACAGTTATAAAGTGAGTCACTGAGAGAAAAACCACACTTCTTTAATTTTCTACAGTATTATATATTCTAGTGAAGATGTTTCCTCTTTGTTCAAAGGCTCAGAAGACATGAAGAAGTTGGCTAAGAGTTATTCTAAAACCTATACTGATTTTGTTCTACAAATGGATTGATATTAAAGAAAATCAAATGGGTGAAATATTTTAAGTTAATTTTTTAAAATTTAAAATTATTCGTGAAATGAGGAACACTTAAATATTACTATCTTTCATATTCAGAAATGAAATATTTGCCTTGATCTTCTTTTATTTGCCTGGCTCTGAGAGCAAGATATGGTGTTTCCTCTGTCTTGGATTACATCACCAGTCTTCACATCAGGGGGCAGTATGTGATTTGCATGAGAATCATAACTGCTGGGTCACAGGGCTTGGCAGGTAAGTAGCTTTCCAAGTTCACCTCTAAGAGTTCAAACAGGTTTGATGCTCAACAAGAGCCAGAAGCCATTGTAATAATAAAAAAATAGGAAAGAAAATATATCATCACCATCAAGAACAAAAAATGGGTATAAGGTACTACAAAATATAACATATACTAAAAGAACAAAAAAAGTCCCGAAAAACAAATGAGAGATCTTTCCGAAGATAAGGGAAAGTGCTTCATCTTGCAGCCATAATGTCTTTGGCTACAATGTTTAGGGTCACAGATCAAAATATGATGTAGCTCATCAAGAATGCCAAAATGGAAACAAAGTGCTCTGGAAACGCATGAGTTATTGGAAACCACGCAGAAGTAAAGAAAAAATGTGGCACATTCCACATTCAGGACGGTGAATGAAGACAACTTTTGTTTCTCTTATTTGCTTCACTTCCTCCATTTAAAAGGGCAATTCTTTGCTGACACATTTATCTGTCACTTCAATTTCATAGCATCAAAAGAGTTGACTATCTAATAATAAAATGTATAGTCAAATATCTAATAATTAAAATATATAAAAATTTCCAGCACTACTTTTATCACAATCCAAATTCCTCTAAAAAGTTTAAAAAGTCACTTGCAATACAAAAGTGAGAAGAAAATACCTTCTGTTTCATTAACTGTCCAGTTGCCTTGCTGGGCTGTGATGGGAGGTGTTGCAGTCCCTTCTGCCTCTTTGGTCAGTACTGTCATTGCTGTATTAAAAGGGGAAAAGTGTCCTTAACAGGAGAGCCTCCTTCCGTATATAAGCAACAGACAGAAAGTTATTCTTACTCTGCGTATTCCTACTTCTGTTTTTAATTTATTCCATTTGAAATCCATAACCCGCCTAAGACAATTTCTTGTTTCTCATCCATTCCATTAACTACATCATAAATGCAGAAAAGAGAAACATGAATTTTTAAGAGAAAGTTAATATATTTATATACTAAATAAATCACAAGGACACTGTAGTATAGTAGATGAATCAACAACTCTTCATTTGTATACAGCAAAAATTTTCGAGGTTTCAAAAAAAGAGGTGTCAAAATATACCAGAAAAGGAACATACATTACATAAAAAACTAAATTAACTCAGATTCCTTGCTCTGATCTTTGTCATAAAGAACAACTGTTAGAAGCCAACTTCTAATTTAGAAAAAATAAATCCTATTCACATTTCACAATGATACAAAGTTAACAAAACAAAAAGGAAATTACCTACCATTGAATAAAAGATAGACTAATATTGGAACTCCCAAAGCCATTTCCTGTAGTTGCTTAACTTTCTCTTATCCTCTTAGGCTGACGGTGGAAGGTTTTTATTGAGCTCTCTGAGTCTTTCTTGCATTTATATTTCATGAAGCGTCATCTGGCTGTTCTTACCAATCAAAAAAATATGTACTTCTGGCAGCAGCAGAAAGCCTCCAGGCACTCACGTACTTGTTTAGGATACCTGCGTTATCTAGCAATGTGATCAAGTTTTCTTTGGAAACACTGGTTTCCTATTACCTGTGGGCATAATCATGTATGTAAAAGTACTTAAAACAACAAAAAGAATGTAAATTTATGAAAGGCCCCATTGGTGTGAGCAGAACTATACCAGCTCAAACAATGCTAGTAATCTATTTAGGATTCCAGCAAAGATATTTGCAAGTTAGGAAATAGCATAACCTGTTAATAAAAGAGATATAGCCAATTACACTGCCTTTGTTGCAGACTATGTATGACTTCCATTGCAAATCAAGATATTTTGTTAATTTAGTTGCAAGAGAAAACAGTAAATTTGTGTGAAACAAAGGCTTAATGTTCTATTTTAGTTTTGTTACTTAGTTTTACTATGACAAGTTATGTAAATATAATTTTTTAAATAGTATAACATTTACCTTTATGTCATCCTGCCATTTAATATTTTTCTGAGTAAACGAAATGGGAAAATTCCAGGAATAACATTGCTTAAATCTGTGCCCCAATGATTAGGCTAGAGAGAATCGGAAAAGTACCAAAATAATAATAATAGTTACATTAAAATTCTCCATTAAGATAAAATTAAGATGACATTAAGTTTAGATACACCTAATGAATACAGAGTTTTAAATTTAATGCAATGTTAATTTTTTCCAATGTTAATCTATTTATCATTATTAAAGTGCCATTTTAAAAGTCAAAACACATAATTACTGCTATCCTATTTTCTGACTATAGGGACTCCCATAAATTTTCACTTGCCCCAAATTATATAAATAATTTATAAACATGTTTGCTGAGTTGTTGTGATTTTCTATCTGGAATTTCAATTGCTCATATTTTCTGTACTTTGAAAATCTGTTCAAATCAAGGTAGGTTATCATTTTGCATCATGTCCACGCAGCAAATTAGATTTACCAGAAAGGATCTCTTTTACTATTCAAATATGAATTTGGCTTTAGAAATCACACAAGAATGAGCTTGTTGGACTCATTATAACTTGGGCAATCACTTACCACAGGAGTCATCATTTTAAAGTTAAAAGAATGTATAGTACTTGGCTCACTTTAAATGTGCCTACATTTTGTATTTCTACTTTTGCGGTTTTGGGTTTTTTTAACTGTTAATTATTAAGTCAATTTCTGGACAATATTTTTCCCAGGAAAATATTTGAATTATTAATCATTTGATTTATAATTCCTAAAGCATTGGTAAGAATTTAAGAAGAAATCATTTACCTTTATTTTTGAAGTATTGGTATAAATTTAAGAAGAAATCATAAAGCATCAAATTAACCATCACAATTCCTTTTGCAGTTTTTGGAAGGCAATGTTAGAATATGCATTAGATCTCTTTATTTCTCAGACTGAGACACAGAAGTGCAATGGTCATCTTTGTAATGATTATTAACTGGAGCTAGCAAAGTGCTTTGCATTTTACAGAAGATTTTCTCTAACATCTCAATTCTTTCTTCAGTAGTCCTGGCCCAAACAAATCCAGTGCCTAACATAAATAAAGACAGTAAATACTCAATGAATAAAGAGGTAAATAACTGGCCTTATTTTTATTCTCAGATGACAAATGAGGAACGGAGGCTCAAAAGGATTATGCAACTTGCCAAAGAAAATGCCTCAGTCAGGACTTCATCCCATTTTTCAGATTCCAAAGTATATGCCTTTCCACTTCCCCAGCTGTGTCCTCCGATAGGAATTGGTGTACTGATCTCAGAGGAAGTCTCTTAATTATCTCCTGAAGCCCAGCTTTATATGAATTACCTTTATTTAGGAAACTAAGTATTAAATGAACTATGGTTTTCACTCACACCTGGGCTCAGAGAGATGGACTACCGCTGCCTCTTTAGATGTCTCTTCACTCTGGTACATCGGGCCCTGTATTGCAGAAACTTATCACTTTAACTTAAGGTTTATACCAGAAAATAGCTCTGTGTCATCCCACATGCTGCTTCTTCTCTGGACCCACACCGATGGCTCCCACTTACATTCTCCACAGGAAAGCTTACTACCTTCCCTTCTTCAAATCTGTCACCAAAGAGTCCTTTCTCCCAATCCTGAAGAATGGGGGAGATGGGTATTGTAGGGCGGCCTCAGTTATACCTTTATTCATTCTTAATACACATTAAAGCAGGTTTGAGTGAGAAAGAACAGGGAGGTGAGAGGCTAAGAGCTCCACTAGCATTTTTCCCTCATTAGTCATAGCATCTTTGCAAGTTTGTTCTTCTCTTCCTTTCTGTTTCTCTAACTCAACCAAAATTTGTTGCTGGTCTTTGGCAGGGAAATGTTTATCAGTATATTACTTATCTCTCTCTAGGTTTACTCTGTAATTACGGATTCAGCTGCCATTCATTCATTCATAAAATATTAAATGCCTGCTACATGCATGGCACAGAGCTGGGTGTGATGATGTTTGTAAGATATATAGATAAATCCTGCATGGATCTGACCTCAAGGAACTAAAGGGAGCTAGAGAAAGTAAATATACCACTGCAGTACTGGGTAGGCAGTGATAACCTCTGTGAATGTATGCTTGAAGGGTTACGAGAGTTAAGAGGTAGGGCTTAGTTAAACTCTCATGACATTTTTCATGGACAAGTTTCATTCAAGGTAAGTCCTAAATAACAAGTAGGATTACATGTAGCGATAAGAGAAAGGATTCTAGGTGGAGGGGCACCAGGGGAGGCAGAGTGGAATAGCAAAAAGAGTGGGCTCTGACTCCCATCTTCCCAACAGACCTTGTTTTGAATTCAAATTCCACTTTACTATCCATTTGGCCTTGCCTGAGGCTTTTTAATAACCAATAACCAAAAAACGGCTCTGACTGAGTCAGCTAAATTACAGTGCCTTGGGACATCTGGGATAAGTCAGTAATCACATCCACCTCTTCTGAAAAACATTATTATAAGACCATTTTTGAAACAGACTTAATGGGACCCAAACACCATAAAATAACCTAGAATGCTTATTACCATTACTCTAGATCCCTGCATATAGGATGTAACCTATAACAGTACCAAATCTATATGTCATGTGCAACCAATAGAAAACCTGAAGAATTAGGCAGGGCTGTCTTTCTCTCTCTTCTTTGACCCTTCCACCCTTCTTGTGACTATAAAATGCTAAGCTTTGGTGGCCCTCTTTGAAATGCATTCCTCAGACTGACCTGACTGACTATGCCTCTCTCTGGTTTCAATTGTCATATTGGCTCAACAAATCCTTGCTATATGTACTTGGCCTCAGTTTCTTTTTAGGTCAACACCCAGAGGGTCAATTTCCTTTTCTATAAAATGGAGATAGTTGATAAGGAGCAATAATTTTTTAAAAAAAAAGCATTTAGCACATAATAGGTGCACAGTTAAGGCTGTCTTCCTACACAGTAGTAATGTACAATGGTCACCAAGGTCAGAAATTTAGTGGTTAATATATGCTGATGAATCCTAAATTTTCATCGCTAGCCATAAATTCCTATCCTCTTCCCAGAGTGACATAACTTCAGGACTCTTATTTATGTATTATATTATCACCTCAAACTCAACATGTCTTAAACCAAACATATTATCTCCTCTGCAAAATCAGGGTCCCCTTAACAATTTCCTCATGTTAATCCATCTTCTAACCTCTAACTACAAATCTCATAACTTGCTAAATAAGGTCTAAATTCTGATTTATCCAGGTTTCCTCTTATTTTTGCATACTTACCTAGCTGTATTCCAACATTCTCCAACACATGCTTTTCATTTTAGTCTGACTGCAACCCTTACTTTCATACATTCTCATTCTCACCACAACTTATTATTGTTTTTCAGAGTTCTCTTAAAGATACCCTGCAGATACAGATATAGTAGGAGAAGAAAACCTACATCTCCAAGCTCCTCCACAAAGCCATCATATGTCTATCTTTTTTTTTTTTTGTCTTTTTGTCTTTTTTCCGTGTCCGGCAACGGATCGCAACCCTCAGTGTTGCCCCCGTACCGGACCGGGGACCGGCAACGGGATCGCAAGCCTCGGTGTTGCTCCCGCGCCTCGCTCAGCCAGTGAGCGGGAGCCGGTCTGTATGTGGGATCCGAAC